TCTCTCATTATATACCTACATGTGTTTTCATGTGTGTGGGCACCTGGACATGCGAGTTTATTTTTTTTTTGAATGTTTTGTACTAATGAGGAAAGAATATATAAACACAAGTGGAAGGCCGATCAGAAATACATTTGTACTTTCTCAAGGTTTAAAGCAACTGATAAGGTGCCGCTAAATCCTTGGCACGCCTGAACAGACCAACGGGCCAAATCTAAACTAAATTGTCCTTCCTTGTGTTCACGGTCTTTATAACCGCTAGTTCAAGATTTCATAATCAATTCTTTAAAATTGAACTTCCTTGCTGAACAAACTTCCCGCATTCACACATTTATCTAAACTGTCTGCATCACTCTGTCACCGCTGCTGTTGCTCTTTTCAGTTTTATGTTATTTCTGTTCATGTTACAGCCACCTCTTTTATTATCTTCATGTTGCCTGTCAGGCATGGGGAGCAAGACAAAGAACAAGATGAAACAGCAATAATAACACCATATACTGATTCTGTTTAGGTATGTTCCTTTTCACTGCTAGGCTCTTGATGCCTTTGGGGGTTTGATGAACTCACTCACTACATACAATAATAATAAAAAGGCATGCGTGCATACAGTACATGTGTGTGTGTGTGTGTGTGTGTGCATGGACACAGTGCCTTGAAGGGTTCTCAGTAGCTTGATCCCCTGATTCATAAACTCGAATAAACACACAGTCTTACATCATTTTATGGAGTGTGTCTATGGGGACAAAAAATGACACATTTCCTGGACTCAAATATCAAAGGGTCTTTTGAGCTCTCTGTTCAAAGTGCTGCTTTCAACCTTTATCTCTATCATGCTTACACGATATTAAACATCTATCACAAGTTAGCACACGAGTCCAGCTGTAGTCAGGCACAATCGATAGGTGTGTCATTATAGCTAAACTCATTTCTCACCGCTGCGCTGTGCCTTTAAGTTGCCGAGATGAGGATGAAATTTGGAAATGTCAAAGTGAGCTTTAAAAGCCAGAAATATCACCTTTGAAGTAATTGTTGGGTCATTGGCATTCATCAATAACACCTTCAGACTCCCCAGTGATATATTACAGCCATTTTTTGCTGTAGGCCAGTGAATATATGTCTCATTCGACTTTTAAGGTGGCACTGTTCTGAATGCCAGTTTTTTGGGGGCCTGTTGATAAAGTGAGCAAATTCTTTCATTCCTTCAACTTACACTCAATCCTTCACATTTACTATTAAAACAAAATATGATCTTGAAGCTTTACATTTTTTAACTCCAGACTGTACCCCGGGAGACACTCTGAAGCTTTCAGCCCAGGCTCCCTTCCTCCAATCAGGGGAGGGGATTGCGGTGAGGAACTATTCCTCGACACCAACTGAGGTGTTTTGGTGAGGTGAGGGGTGCATGACCGAAAACCTGACCTCAACCAGAATGTATCCAGCCTCAGGCCACGTCATGCCTGGAGAAGACCCTGGACAAACTAGCATGGATGGATGAATGGATAGATAGTGCAGCAGTACGTTTAAGGGATTAGACCTCTGTGGGTTATTTCCACTATGGATTTCTTATGGCCACTTAATGTAAAAATTATATCAGTAAATATTCTGTATAACTCACTACCTCCAGAAAATGCATGTGGAGGTGTATCCCTTTAAGAACTGGTGCAATTTTTTTTAGATCCTTCTTACTTCAGAGCTACATATCTCATGATGTATCCAGGTCCAGAAGGAGAATTGCACAAAGTGGCAAGGAACTACAAACAGAAGTTGGCACTAATGCAGCTAGAAACTGTTTGCCAACCAACACTACACAAAAAAACAAGAACGCAGTGCTAACTACTCAGTGTTGATGTGGTACCTGTGTGGTGCAATAGCATTAGATGCTGCAGTACAAACAGGAGAAACATGCAGAGCTCAGTCGTCAAAAATTCGGCTTGGAACTCGTTGATAAATAAATAAACAAATAAATAAATAAAAATGAGATGAAGTCCAAACTCCAAGCCAGGAAACTCTAGAGTAAGACATCTCAACTATACAGAACTTTGAGGACCTGTTGAATATTTCCTAGTGAATAACATTGTGGTTAAATAGCAAACAGGCTTATCTATATATCTTAGGAAGGGCAGTGAGTGACTTTTTTTAACTTCTCTCCACCTTTAATAGTGTTTATCTTTTTTCTTTTGTTTTATTATCATCTAGTTATTGTCACTCATGGCCATAGTGGCTGCTGTTAAGCTTCAATTTTAATGGGCCTCAAAATGTCCTCCTTCCTGTAACTATTCTGTACTTCTCCCTCCCTAGCCCAACTCCTGCAGGCGATTATTTTCTCACAAAAGGTAACTGCATTGACACAAATCCTTTCTGAAACATTCTGTATTCCTTGAGTGAAAATAGGATGCAATAAGGCTTTCTATATGCTTTTTTCTTTTTGGTGACCTCAACTAAACAGTGCATCAGTTTATGTGGTTCAAATGGTTATTTAATTTGCTTATTCACATGAGAGATTTTTAATTCCTCTGGAATTCTTTTGATGCTTTCTAAATAGTTCAGCACTACTTGGGAAAAAGGGGAAGTTCTGTACATTTTAGTATTTATGAAACCCTTTTTAAATTCCATTGGGCAAACTCAAAAAGGCTTCTTCCTGAAGACCTCATGTTTTCATGAGATTTCTTCACCCTATTTCATAGCGAATGCAAAGCACTTCATCTGCCAGTAACACGGCCAGCACCTCCTGTCTTAAACATGAAGGTGTTATTTCTTTCCAGTCTACGGTTTTGATTTTAGAGACAGATATTTAAAAAATAGTTAATTACAGAACCTGAGAGACAATAAATCTATCATACATGCCTCTATTTATTTAAAGTTAAAACTTGCAGAATTGTAACAAATGTTCCAGCCATCTATTAAAAAGCTAAGAAGGTAGACTTTTTAGATTTGGTAACTTTTTACAGTTTTCTCACACATTTATATTTGTCATATTTTTTTTTATTTTCCCCTTGTATTTGAATCGATTAAAAATCCAATTTACCAATGAACCTTTCTGCTTTTTTTTCTCAGCCCATGACGTAAAAAGAGGCGAGAAACGCGCTGGAATAGTGCATCAAGTGTGAAGCTGCAGAAGGTAGATTGGTTCAAATGGATTTTGGAGTCAGTATCAAATGGGAATCCATTTTGGTGATAAGTCCGATTCCTGCCTGGGGAGCTGGCATCATCTCCCGCTCTCTTGTCAGCATGCTTCAGCAGCCGCATCCTGTGCTCTGAGTAATATGACACAGACACAGAGAGACCGAGTTAACACACACTGAAAAGATACTAGGAGAGGCAAGGACAGAGATACTGATGCGAGGAGAGGAAGACAAGTCGGGTAAAGATACTCTGCAATGAGGAGAGCGGAAGAACAGACACAGATGTACAACGGCAGACAAACCCCTCGTCCGTCACTAAATCATGTTTGTCATTCTCACAGAGAGAAGAAGAAAGAGAGTGATGCCTCGTCCCAAGGGGAGCTGTGACTGTTACTCCTTGATGTTTTCCAGACTCTACAGTATATCCTGTATTTATTCATGCTCCCTCTCTGAGCATTATTATTCCTGTATTTGCTTAAATGGGCGTGGATGCTGTAAGCATTCTTGCCATAGCAATTTAAATCTAAGACATTTTCTTTAGCAAATTGTGCAATTCCAACAGCCAGGAGGTGGACACGCAAACATCAAAAACTCTGAGAGGCTACAAGCCGTCAGACAATCACATGCTATGAACAAACCGCCACTTAATCAAAACAATTTTGAAGAGAAAACAATGACAAACAATATAATTATAACCCGAACTGCCGCTTTATTACAGACAACAGAACGAGCCCACATACTTTAACTCTGCATGTGAACTAGACCGGTGAATCTGTTGAACGAATATCAATTGTTATCTTGTAAATATGCCTGTATCAATCAGGTGTGCAAGAAATTACAGTGCTGGAATTACAAGCATTTAACTTTGTAAACTGCAGTCAGTTTGGTCTAATGATCACATCCAGCCACAGACCAACTTTTCATTTTGCAGTTAAATTGTAGTCCACACAATGGCAGAGGTAGACTTATCATATTTCACCAAATCTGGAAATGCAACCTATTGACAATGAGAAAATGTGCATTTTGTTTAAGGATTTGTATTACATTTAAGTGTTAAGTGTAATAAAACTGACCAGCAATGACACATTTTCTATTTTATGTGTTTTCCAGCTTCTTAAATTCATGGTATGGTTGTGTCATGACCAATCTGAGAGGTCAAAACCCAAGGATATGTAAATGCTACTGTTTTTCTGTCACTCAGAAACTACTGTTTCAGCCTTAGATGTAGATTTCAGACCGCACCCGACCCCAGTATTAATGGCATAATAAAAACAAAACAAAACAAAAACATATTAAAGAAGCAGAAGAATTATTGAAGTATTTTAAAATCCAATATTTTGAGTTGTATTCAAACTTAAACTAAAGTTTTGAGGCTGCAGTTAGCTTGCATTGCATTCTGTTTAAAGGTGTTCCTGTTATTTTGTCCATCCTGCTGTACGTTCCCACCGGTGCTGTCAGAGTACAAGCCCCTCCAAACACCCTTTCTCTCTCTTTCTCGTTAAACCAGCATCTGCTGAGGTAAGAGGCCTGAAACCCCCAACCACACATGCATACACACACACCCACACATACTCACACTTCACCCCCTCCCTTTCTTTGCAGTCTCTCAAGCTTGCCATCTGCCACAGAGTTGGACAAGACCCCACTAATATGGCAGTCACACGCACGCACATACACACGCATTACGAGCTTCCACCCTTATTTCAAATCCTCACAACCGCTGAAAAAAACTGCAGGGACACACATGATCGCACGCGTATACACACACTCGTGGTCACACGCTATACAACATTAAGTTAGGCATGCTGCATTTTTAATCAGAAGCCCCCACGAGCAACACAGCTTGCAGGGTCATAATGGTTTTGAGACAAACCCTACCCCACTGCATAGAGCTGGTGAACTCCTCCCCTCTTCTGTGTGACTGGCCTGGAGAAGAGGATAGAGGGAGGACAGAGGGACAACAGCGGACTCTAATTACTCCTCTGTGGCTATCCTCCAGCATTTTATTTCAGGAGTTACGGGAGACAGTGAGAGAGAAAGAGGCGAACAGAGAGGAAAGACTAGGATGCCACGAACAGACAGAGACTCGTGCCGATTGAACATGAGGCATCACCCTGTGGCTCTCCCTCAGTCTCTTCTCTTCTTTCCATCTCTGCTTGTTGTACATAATGCCCTCTCGTACTCACTGCAATTGTTCATCACCCCCCAGTTATCCACAGTGAATAATAATGTCTCCTCTTGGAGAGAAAGAGGAAGAGGAGCAAGCCTAAGGCAATGCATTCTGATGGTCTAAGCGTTCCCCAGTCACCCTATGCCTGGGCAAAATCAACAGTGCGGTAGGAAGGGAGCTAGGATGTCCTGCATCCATATTCTCTGGGTGTTGCATTTGTTTGTTTTGTTTTTCTCATTATTTACAATCTGTATCACCCAAGCCAAACTGTAAATATACACAGAGACAGGGCGAGAGACAAACTCTGGACAACGGGGACGCTGCCGTTGTCTTTCACAAATAGACCCAGGCGAATTAGCAACATTATGTCTTCTCTGTGGGGACATTTGCTCTCGCCTGCCCCTGCCCCTGCCATGCCGCCATCATCATCACTGTCACCCGGACGGAGCCCGTGGAGGGGCAGAGCCACTTGAGGAAAGCTTCTTTCCTGGTGAAGCTAAAGTTGAATAGACAGCTGGGCCCCGCTCCAGAGTCTCCAGCTATTTCAAAAAGGCTGCTCAGTTCACAGCAGCCAGCCACAATACATTTCTTTCTTTCTTTCTTTTTATGAGAGCCCATTCAGTTTGCTTCTAATTTATTTTGCCAGGTTCCCCAAATAGACTTGAATCTGTCATCTGCACCAGGCTATGGTTGACTGACAGAAAAATTGTGACTACAATTATTTGGTTAGATTGCGGAGCTGGGGCACAGTGGAACAAATGCATATTTGATCACTTTCTTATAATAAAAAGTCTTTTTTTTATCCATATCCTACAAGCCAATAAAATCTTTTATATCCAAGCCATATGCAGTATTACGGTCCTGCTGTAATAGAAGCCATTAAGGACACATTATTTGATTCACTGTGTCTTTCGCTTGCCTGTGCCAATGTAGGATGAAATGGGCCATTCTAATCCTCATTAACATAGCTAATTTCACATAAGAGAAAGTTGATAGTGGGTGTCAAAACCATTCAAAGGTCACCCAAGCAAGCTACACCATTTGACAGATAAGTATATCCATGTGCCCGTGGCTCTCTGTGTGTGTGACTAAAAAGTATGTATGTTTGAACATTTATTCCATTTGTACGTGCCGTTTCAGTTGAAGCAGGGTAACCTCCTCTGATACATTTGAGAAATAGGCAAAGCAGACAGAACAGTGCCTGATAACATGGTTAAAACTGTCAAAGCTAGCAGATGATGGTTGATCATGCAGACAGGAGCAAGGATGGGACAAAAACAAGAGAGCAGAGATATGCAGGAAAAGGGCATCAGACATTCATCCTCCCCTGAAGGCTTTAAGTGCTACAGCTAACCTTTGGTCGAAGGGATGAAAAGGGGGAAGAAAATGTCTAACATGTTGCTCCTTTAACGGAGGCTCTGGCACAGCGCCATGTCACAGGGGGACGAAAGGACAAGTCTGACATTAAAAGCACAAAAAGTGCATTCACGTGACCTTTAAAGGGGTCAGATAATTGAACATCAAACTCTTCAGGCCAGCTGTGTTTGGCTGCGTGACACATGTGGCTGCATACATTAGTGGAGAAAGATCATCCAGATGGCTGGGTGATAAATCAATAACAAAGGCATGTTTGAGCTAGGCTCTTACACGACCTCTTTATTCGCTGATTTGCTGATGTACGGATCAAAAAAATGTCTTGGCAGGTGTAATTTCGCACACATGTTGATTACACAGCTTTTTCAGCTTTCTGTATTACACATTTATCTGTATCCTGTATCCAACAAAAATTAATCCAGGTGCCAGGTGATTAATTAAATGTCTTTGACTTTTAGATTTTTAAGGCATGCTCTTCTGGAGGAAACTGTATGAACTGGCACTTCTTGTATTTAAAAAAATATGTATATAAAATTAAAGGAAAGTGTGCATCAACTATATCAGCAATAGCTCCACTACAATGCGCTTACAAAGTTTAGGGTTAAAGAAAAATGAGAAGTTTGAGCAAGCGTCCACGTAAGCTGCTGAAGTAATATAGCAGTAAATACTGTAAACTGTAGATACTTACTCAGTCACTCTCCTACTGGCGGTGATGCTAGCCACAATGACACTCTCTGGTCTTGGGGTGGCAACAGCCTTGAAAGTCCCTTTCCAAAACTTCTCAAAGAGCTGCTTCTCTTCCAGCTGGAAGGTGGTAGTGCTTCCCTGAGATCCCAGGGACAGAGAGGCGCCACAGGGACCAAGCTGGAGTGAACGTGGGGGCTGCATTTCTGCTTCTTCGCTCCAAACTGAATCACCTTCAGTCACTCACCCGACAGTCTCCCTTCACTCTCATACAAACGTGCGCACACACGATACTGGTTGTTGCTCAGGAACTGTCCAAGTACTGAATCAAACCGAGCAGAGTGCAGCAGATGCTTTGCTCCGTCTTCTCTTCTCACAGCAGCAGGTCAATGTGTCAGCGCGTCTGTCTGCTCTTCACTCTTGAGCGGGAGCGTGCGGAGAAGGACAAAAGCTGACCCTCTCCAACTAGAGACCGGGTATTGTTCTCCCAGATGAGGAGGGGTAATGGAGATTGTGTTTCTCTCTCCGCCTCTCCTCTTCTGTCACATCTGCTGCTCTTTGGGATGGGGTCTGGGTCGGGTTTGGAAGCCAGAGCGCTCCTTTTTTTCCCTTTCGGCAGCTTCACACAAAATTAGGCATTCCTTGACAATAGATGGAGCATGCTTCAGTCGTGAGAAGTGAGAGACCTTGTGCTTTTCTTGCTGCTAGAGTGCAGCGTTTTAGTGTAGAGATAATTGTGCGCCCACGCGCACAGGCTGAGGGTTGAGCGGGTGTCGAGGCAAGTGTTGCGGTGTGTCTGAGGGCAGGCGTATCTGTAAGTTGGAGAGTGGGTATGCCAGAGTGTGTGAGTGAAAATCGAGTGAGAAGCTCAGCTGAGAGTGGGTTGTTTTGTGTCTCTCAGCATGTGACGTCAAAATTGGGGGCTGGACACTGAGTAAAGGGGACATCCTCCGTCATCCTCTCTCACTCCCTCGCTGTGGTACTCTCACTCTTCTAAACCCTTGATTAGATTCACTTTTCATTTTTTTTCTCTCTCGCTCCGTTTCTTTTAATCTTTCTGTCTCTCTGCTTGTATTTCTCCTTTCCTCTCTGTCTTCCCTCCATCTTCCTTTTCCCTGTGCTTTCTATTAAATACATTTTGGGGGTTTTTAAAGCTACAAGAACTAATCAGTTAGACCATAAACAGAAAATAAATCCAAAATTGTTCGTAAATAATTAAAAATGAATTATTAAGCTCATTTAGTATAGTTTTAGTCTTGGACTCCACCAGAGTAACTTTACAAATAATCCTAACGTATTTTATACTGAGCCTTGCTGTAGCCCCTGAGTTTACCCACTGTCAGCATTTGGTAAATGGCAAATGGACTGATATAAATATATAGAACAATTTTCTGTTCTAACTGAGCACTTAAAGCACTTTTTACCAAAAGCATGAATGTGTTTCTATAATCTTTTGTATTTTGAATATGTAATTACTGATATAGCTACTAGTTTTTATTATGTTGCAAACAGTGTAAGTCTGTCTTTCTTATCCTCTTCCTTTGTGGGACACACACACACAGAGACACACACACACACACACACACAGACGATTGTCTCGTCAGTATCTTGGACAAAAGGCCGAGGTAATCAACATAATAAAAGGCCTGGCTCAGTGAGGACCAGCCGGAGCATGTGGCTGACACAAACTTCCCCTCGGGGGTTTAAGCTTTTTCCCTACCGTCACTTACCTCCTCCTCTCCTCTTTAGTCTACTTCTACACGACACAGAGCACAGAGGCACAACTCAACAACCCCCTCCCCAGCTCTCCCTTCTTTCTTCGCTCTTCTCTTCACCACTCTGTCTCTAATGCTGCATATCATCTGCTGGTTGCCATTGCTGAGGACTCTGGAAATCTTCGAGGGGATTACAGACTACTACAGGGATGCCACCCTGTTTATGCTACAACAGAAAACTCAGTGTAATACTTTAAAGGATATATCCTATTTATAGACTTTTGGAATTGCTTGCAGACTTTAATGTGATAGAGCAAAGCTCACTCATGCACCAACAGCTTTTATGTACACAAATTTAACTTTTATTACTATGCTTTTTCCTCAATATTTTGAAATATTTTGTAGCAGTATATATATTTCCAAGGAATTTAAGATGGTGTTTACAACATTACTAAGATGTTTCATTTGAGCACATTAGACAAGGACTGATGGGGTTGTATAGTGGTAAGCAAGAGGGTCCTGGTTTGCACCTGCTGGCAATCTCGGGCTTTTTTGTGTGTTCCTTCTGTGTCTATGTGGGGTCACTTTGGGTTCTCTAGTTTCCTCTTCTAGTCCGAAGACATGCATGTTAGGTTAAGTGGTGATTATAAATTTCGTTTGGGTGTGAATGTGAGTGTGTATGGTTGTCCATCTCTCTGCATTAGCCATGTGAGCCTGGTTCTGCCGGAAGTTTCTTCCTGTTAAAAGGAAGTTTTTCCTTCTCACCATTGCCAAAGTGCTTGCTCACAGGGGGTCATGTGACTGTTGGGTTTTTCTCTGTATCTATTATTGTAGGGTCTACCTTACAATATAAAACACATTCAGGCGGCTGTTGTTGTGATTTGGTGTTATATAAATAAAACTGAATTGAATTGAATTGAGAGACTGCCATCCTACTGATCTATCCCTGTTATGACTGGTGGGATAGGCCCCAAACATCCTAAAATGAATAAGTGGTTATATATACGCAAATTGTAAATAAATTGTACAGTTCTTATTCCATGACGCATGACAAAACTGAAATAAATACAGAAAAATAGCCCTTTTGTGTTCCCTTTTGAACTTTACTGTGGAAGATTTTATATTTATAATATAAAGAATTTGGTAAGGTTTCTTTGCAGACAGGCTTAATTGTCCAAAGTTAACTTTGCATTTTAGAGTTTCAATAGTTCACTAGATATCTATTTACTCTTCTCTTTGGATACCACTTCATTTGAAAATCTAGGTGTCAAATCCATTCACACAGCTGATTTCAGATTCCAAATTAATCTGCTCTGCTTGCCTCTAACAAGGTGTTTCGCTCTAAGCTGTGAACAAGATGTCATAAACACAAGTTTTGTCTCGCTGTGCTGACTACATTGTCGTGTGAACCTTCCATCTTTTCTCTGATCAAGAGTTGTAGGCATAGGTGGGAAATAATATCCCTGCCTCCTAATAGGTATGCACAAAGACACGGTGCTGTACCTCGTCTGGATTAATAATGCATATATTAGCTGATAACACAAAACCTTGATGTATAACAACGTCAGAGACTTAATGATAAGTGGCTGCTTCATCAGTGTGCTTTGCATAACGATGGAGCAGAGGCACTCTCAAATCAAACCAGAGGGCACAGACAAGCAGGTACAGCAAAACATAGAATATGTTTCATTTATGGTCGGGAATATCAAACAGCTGTTTCTGCCGTAAGATGATGTTAAGGTTATATTGGAGGGCTGTGCCGAGGGCAGAAGGTTGGGTTTCCTCCTGCAGAGTGTTTTTATGAAGTGCTTTTGCTAGCAGTGGTTTTATATGAAAAGCTCAGCTGAAGGACACTAAGCTGTTGCAGAAAAAGTCATTAATTTGTGTAAAGACAATAATTTCATGCTTTAGCCTTGATGTTATAAAGGAATGAAGTGATAATAATTGATTTTAAAATGTTACATGACATCGCATACATCTAAGAGACTTTGTACAATGCTGTGCTTAGTGCATTTATGCTCAACCATCAACATAACATCAAAAATGAAATAATTACAATTATTTAGCTTTTCTTTGCATCTAGCTTTTCAACAACATCTAGCTTCTTGTCATCTCTTTAAGCCTTTTAAAAAAGGCAGCTGAACAATCATCTGTAATTTTCTGGGTTAGTTGATACACAACCGGAGCTAAACAAAAAGTGAATCCACTCAAAGTGAAGCACATACTATTTGAGTTTTTCAAAAGAAGCCGAGGGAATACTTGAAAACTTATTGGTGAGGCTGAATGGTTTTCAGATTTCAAGCTGACAGTAATTGCAGTTGTTAGAATAGATGAATTCATCTTTTTTAAGTCAAAAAGAAACAGGCACGACAAATTGCTCGCAAATGCAACATTACTTTTTCTTTATCAATAACAATCAAGCTTTCTTTTTGTGGCACTTCTGCATAAAGTGAAAAAAAAAAACAGAAGCAAAGATTCACCTTTTATTTCAAAGCCTCGGCCATATTTTCTTTTCACAGCATTGTTCTGTTTCTCCATCTTCAATTTCAGCATGCACACCTCCACATTACTTCAAGAGAAATCAAGTACTGGTATTATCTGGGGATGGGCTGTCACCACAGCACTCAGAACAGAGCCTACTTTAAAAAAAAGGTTTTCAGGAGACATCACTGTATTGCATTTTTCATTTACTGTCACTGCTTTAATTTGCTTTGGTTTTAGTCACACAGACCTAGAGGCATGTCAGAAACCTACTGGCAACTACCAGTCACTAGGGAAAAATGTGCATTCCCTCACTGGTTGACAAGTGTTGGCAGTTGCTTGGTTAAAATGGTCGCAGGGAAGTATGAGGGATGTCAGAACAGGGTTTGTTATTAAAAGTAAATTGAACACTCATTGGTCTAAAATAAAACTAAATGACTAAACAATCCGTGAAAATACAACTGAGAAACCCACCAATTGCTAATGGGACAGTAACTGGAATTTTCATTAAATTTAACAAATAGAAATCAAAATTATATTATATGTATTCATCTTCGGTTATAATTAAAAAAAAATCTTTACCATAGACATCATATAAACTAAGACTAAGTGTAAGTGCATACCGAATAACTCGTTTGTAACATCTTTCTGAACTTATATTAAAAAAAAAGCATTATAGTTGTAGATGGAAGTTTGAACACAGGCAGCCTGACAACTTACAAGGGCTGTTGCACAGCGATAGCATTTTTACATTGGTGCAGTGGTTTCAACATGGTGATCAGGTTCACAGTGCAGCCACTTCAGGTGGGAAAGGGACAACCAGGTGAAGAACAGCCTGATCGAAAAAGTCCAACAAAGACTGTTCTTCCTAAGGAAGTTGAAGCAAGCACAGTTCTGCCAGAAACTGCTGCTGAACTTTTACAGGACCACCTGAAGGAGCTGAAGGATCTACATCTAGTTTAAGAATACACGATGTGTGCATTAGGCTTGGAGCTTCCACACCTAGAGGATTTCTACAACAACCATCTAATGAAGATGAAATCATTTCACACACCTCACACCCTTTCACCTTCTATTTGAACTGTTTTCATCAGGCAAGAGATACAGACCCATGACATCCCACACAAACAATCTGAGGAAAAGCTTTTTCTACCAAGCTGTTGCCTCCATAACCCCTCACCCAAACTCCCCCATACACTATAATCATGGGCAGTGATGAAGGTCTCAGGACTCTCATTCCACACCAGTAGTTTGCCGATACTGTTGTGTGATAATTGGCACCTTTATTCTAATAAAATTCATCATAGATCATTTTTTATTGTTACTGAAAGATTAAAAATTGTGCATGGACCTTTTTATTCCGCTTCTAAAATGGGGCCAGAAAAATTTTGAGAGCCACTGTGTTACTGTGAAGGTTAAGTGTACCATGGCCTTCCTTGCTTGAAGATGTGATAAAAAAAATTACTGGCTTTAGATATTACATATTTTAATTAACTTTATGTCTTAGATTTTGATGTTCTAGATAAGCTACACATATTAATAAATGTTAAAGTTTACTGAGCAAGTTCATTTTACTTTGTTAGATATAACCCCAAAAAGATATGTAAAACACGGTTACCTCATTATGTCAGATATATGCTGTTGGTCCTACAGACACAATGTTTTTTCAACCTGGA